ATTTGTATTAATTCAACAATGAAAAATGCTAATAAGTAATATTGTATGCTTTAATATGTATTTAAACACTATACAATTATTAGAATTTGAGTATTATAACTGTAATGCTTATTACTTAATACTTATTAGGTACCTACATTGTGCAACTAGATTTTATAATCATATTATGATCTTTATACATGATATTATCAATATCTTATAATATGGTTATACTCAATTATGAATTTACCTTGTGAATTATACAATTCAATTTTTTCTTTTAACTTATCCAAAGGAGCATCTACGGTGCCAAAATTTAGGTTTCTCCAAACATTGTGTAGATGGTACACAGTATTTTTAATTGGATTAACAGATCCATTGGCAAGTAATTTTAATGGACTTTTGTTTTTCATTATTTGATTTTCATGAAATCTACAAGCTTCATTTGGTCCCATTCCATCATCAAAATATTGCATAAATGTTTGCTCAGTCTAAAATTAATGTAGAATAATTATGTATCTATCAACTAGCTACCTTTAAAATATTGAATAATTGTACCTAATTAATAAATTATGAGGTCAAAACCAAAAGTGCCAACTTGATAGTTTAGAAATATCTTTTTAACATTAATTTTAGTTATTAATAGTCTATAGTTTTATCACAGGAAAATGTATTTTGGATTATTGTTTACAGTTACACATATGCTAAAATGACTCAAATTTTCATATATCATCATCAAGACTTTTCAGTTCAAAAATGATATTATGTAATAACCAAAATTGGCAATCTACATGTTAAAATATATTAGTATCAAAAAGTACTCAAAATCATATAATGTGCCATATAATAATTACACTAGCTGTAATACAATAAATTACCTATCATTTATTTTATCAACAGTTAAATTTCTAAAATGAATAGCATCACAAAAAAACTGTATAATTATTACTTATAATTAGTATTACCATTTACCATCAATTTTATAATATGCTATAATTTTACTATATTATAGTACTATACCTATAGTATAAAATCAATGGTATTACTTAAAGTGTTAATTATATTTTAATCCCCCCATCCATAATTTTGTTATATTATACAAGTTAGAGATAATAATACTACATAGGTAGGTATAAAAAAAAAAACTTTATTTTATTTGTTAACATTTACATAGTAGGTAATAACCTATGTAATAAATAAGAAATATATTATTTTATTATTATATTAATTATTATTATAAATATTATATTATTACCACAAGTAATTACTACCATACGCCTTAACACAATATTTTTATGATAGTATAAGCAAGTTTTTAACTAGTTAAAATTAAGTTACTTTAATATAAAAAGGTTAGAAATTAGAAGTTAGTTTTTTATTTAGTTCGATAAATTTAAAAAGCCATTTTTTCAAATGTAATATATTACATTAATTAATTATTAAGTATGTAGCCATGTAGGTAGGTAACTAACTTGAATTATTGATGATGAATGAAAAATTAAATTGAAGAACTGACAACTGATAATTTGATCAAATATATCAAATAGGTAGTTAATAATCTTAATTTCTTGGAATATCAGTCATTAGAATATAGAAAATTTAACAAATTAAAAAATTCAATAAATTAAACTACAAAAACTACAAAAAAAATCTATTTACTTATTATTTTTAACAATATTTAGATTAGATTATTTTACATATTAAATTCAACTAGTTAAGTTACAAAGTTAATTAAAATGAATTAAAACACTAACTAGTTAGTGCCCAGCTTTGCTCATTTCTTACAATCCCATCTATTATATTTCCCCAAATTTTCATAATGTGGCTCATAAGTTGTATCCCTCTATAATTTTCACATTCCTATTTTAGAAATATAATACTACTTACTTCTGAATTAATACGTAAATATTTTAATGAACCACTTGTATTGATTGTATGATTATGCTTGTTCATTATTGTTATTTTTCCACATAATGGTGGATTCTTTTTTAGAAATATATCATTTTTCCTAGTACTCCTGTTATTTTTTTTTATCAAAATATTAATTTTAGCTTCACACTGGGTGTTTCTTGGAGTTAATTCTTCTACATTTGGATGATGTACTTTATTTCTTTGGCTATGTTGACATAACCAATACTTATGATACACAACCCTATAAAACAGGAATGACCATTTTATTTTTATATACCTACTACAAAGTTATAAGATACAAATATACTTAATTATATAATTTACACACCTCACTGGATTATTTAACTGTCCCTGAACAATCCAATTAGTGGCACTTTTTTCTTTGAATATAGCAAAAAATATGTCAACATCATCTTCAGTATTTAAATTGCAACGTATCACTGCAACATCATTCTTAATATCTACTAATTCACAACGCAAATCGCTATAACTAATATTTATTTCATCTATGATATTTTTTAGATGCATATTTGATGCATTTATGATGTTGGTGTAAATAAAACAATTAAAAAATATGTAAATCACAAAAACAAATGAGTAACTATATTATGTAAATCACAAATACAAAATAATACACCTACAATATAGTATATACCTACACATACAATTATTAAGTGATAAGATAATCAATAATAATAATATAATAATATGCCTATTAATAACTATTATAATATTATAATATGAAACTGGAAACTGGAAGACAAGGATTAACTCGAGGTTCAAGAAAGGTGCCATCTGGGCGACCTTTAAAAGCTGAAAAAAGTAAAATTAAAAAAAGAATTCATAATCTTAACCATAATATTATTAAAAATCAAATGAATGCTACTTATCACGGCAGATCATCATAAAATTGGATTAATTATTAATTACCTACCAAATTATTAAAATTAAGTTTCATTTGTTTATATATATTTTATGCTGAACTGTAAATTTCAATTTTATTTGTTTATTATTCTCATTATATAAACTATTTTTATTTATCATTATTAAATCAAAAGGTTCAAAAAAATTAATTTATAATAAATGTATAATCTTTAAAAATACTTTAGCTAGGTGGGTATTATAAATTATAACATTATTAAGTGTTTATTCCACATAATTTTCTTGGATTTTCGTTTTCTGAATAAAAATAATAATTCATAACTTCAGATATTTATTATTACCAACCTTAATAATAATAAAATATACCTAATATTTTGAATGTCCAATTTTAAGACAGAAATTACCACAGTATAATTACTTGTTAGTTATATCACTGAATATCATAAATAATAAAAATTAATGCAATATAATATTCATATTAATAGGACTTGTAACAGTAATTTTAATTTTAACTATATGAAATGAAAAACATATAGATATTTAAATTATTTTACAATGATTGTATCTAAGTTCTAAATATCAAATACTGAAATTTAAGCTGTACCTAGTAGGAATTATTAATTAACAAAAATAAACAATATTGCAGCAGATTAATCAAAACAATTAGGACATTTTTATAAGAAAACTCAAAGGTCACATTAGACCCCATACCCTCATTGAAATGTGTAACAAACATTAATCATTAAGTTATTGCAAATACAAAATTAAATTATATCAATGAGCAAATAAATTGGGTAGATAATGAAAAAACTGTATATTTTTAACACATGCTTCTGGAAACTGGATTTATTCTAAAAATGTAAGGAAGCCACTGGTTTTGATGTCATGATTATTTTTACCAATCATAGTAAGTTAAATACATAATGTAGGTGTATATAAATTATATATATTACAATATATAGTAATATAACTGCAGTCTGCATTGAATTGATAAGATAATCAATAATAACTATTATAATATTATGATATATGAAAAAGCGCGGCAATTTGAAATCGACCAATAAGAGCGCCGTATTTGAAACCCGCACTGTGACGTCTAGGGTTTCTTTATTTTCTTATATCGCCAACCGTCCTTGAAGCTTGACCGGAGTTCGTTATCTAGTAATATATAGAAATCTGTGATATTCTATGTAATAAAGTCATGAATACGGATCACGATAATATTATCATTATACCATTTTAATTTTTAAATCGTAGTTTTTGTCATAAAATTAATTTCATCTGAAAGGCAGCTAACGGATTTATCATTTATGTTGGTTACATTTTACAAAACCCTATGAACGAGTCAATTACAATCACGTAAAAATATAAGTAAAGGTAAATTATATATTCTTTAAAAATAATTGGTCTGATAAAATACTATAGATACTCTTTAGATTATTTCTGACCAGTTAGATGTATTTTAAGACATTGGTTTAATTGTAAGTGGCTCATAAGGCCAATATTTTTAAACGGAGTGTTTATTCCTTGGTGCAAAATTAATTTATTAATTTTAGATTTACTTCAAAATACAAAATTGATGACACTTAAGACCTTAATACATTCATTCTTCTTCTTAATTGTATAACCCATTCATTGATCAAAAGAGGAGTGCGTTGAGATTACTATGGTTCAGTTGATTGTGCCTCAGTGTCCAATATACGATGTGCACAGCAATAGGTTCAAAGACCACCAAGACCACCACATTCATTATTTTTCACTTGATTCTTGATGCATTTATTTTGACTGTCTACTGCCACCAAATTTGAGAGCCCAAGAAAGGGCAAGCCGGATCAGGCAAATAACGATGGAGATGGGATACAATTTGCTGTCCTTAGGTAGAGCAATACTGAATGGATTTGAACATACTTATTTCTCATTACTAGCCATTTTTGATCCAGGTTGAACTTTTCAGTGATGAGAAGAAACTCAAATTATGGTTAGTGGATGAAAAGGTAAGTTGACACGTCATTCTCCTTCTCAACCATTCAACATGATATGCATTTACCTAAAAATGATGAGTACATAGATTAGTAATATTGCGTGGGCTCAGTTGATTTGATTGCATGTCAGTGTTCTATGCATATGTTGCTGAACCGCGGGTTCTAAAACCTCTGCATTATTTTTTGATTAATACTCTATGCATTTTCTTTGATCTACAAATTTGAGCACCTAAAAGATGTTCCAACATGAGACGAGACCGTGTCAATCTTTCAATGTTTGGGAATTCAAAGTATATCAATAAATTAATATGGTAAGCTTAAATTATGAAAAGTAAAATTAATATTGTAATTTTAATTGTATCTGTCAAGATATATTTTAAAATTTGTTAGTATAAATATTGGTTAAATAATACTCAAATCGACCACACATATAGAAAAACATGGCATTCACTAATTAGATTCAACTGATAAAAATATAATCTGTCGATGTATATTATACCTTATACTGTATATATATTATATACATTATAATATAAATGCCTATGGCTGGCTGCAGCTAAGTAGTAGAACTAGTCCAACTTTTCTTATGAATCTATCTTAGTATCATATAGTGATGTCGTCATGATTATTGTTTAATCAATGGTATACATTTTATTGATTTCAGGTTTTATAACAAGACTTGCCAACTCTCCAACTTCTTAACAAATACAATTTTCATTGATACATCAATCAATATTATTGGACTTATATTTAGATGCATTCCATTTGTGATGAAGAATATCAGTTACCTGTCCATGTAAGTTAAAACTTCAATATAAAGTAGTTAATAAAATTATGTATGTATCCGTAGGAAAATTGTTATGTAGTACTGAATACTGTTGACATATTGTTTGCATTATTATTTGTAGTCTAACTAAAAACCAGATTTTTGGACTCATTAAATTGTTAATTTTTTAAGATACAATTAACAAGATATTAATGTCTGCTGCCACTAGTTCTTGGATAGGTTCGTAGTGGCAAAAACCTTGCCACACGCAGATGTGTTGTTGACTAACCGTTTCAATTGTACCAACCATAATCCCTACAATAGCTAATAGCAATAATTGCCAGGCTCAAGAAAAATATTATAATTTTATTGTTATTTTAATGAGTTTTACAATTGATTATTAGCAGCAATTATCTTAAAATAGTAGAGATTATTTATCAGTCAACTTGACTATCCCATTTTCTAATAAACTTTTATTTTATTGTGACTAGTGACTACTACAGGTTAACACTGTATTATAGTATTTTTAGACAATTTTGTAATCCACAAGATAAAAAAATATAAGAAGGTCTATACTCTGTTCACCGAGGGAACACGCCGCGGCCCGACAAAAATCGGTTTGTTCTGCGCATTCCTTCGTGTCACCCACTCATAGCCGGCGGCAGGACGTGACTGGCGTTGCTAGCATTGGCTTCGGTCGCCTATTGTCATCACGAATCTTGACGAGAAAATAGAGCCTCGGCGAGCTAGCAGCCTTCAGTCTCCATGCGCAGACTGGCGTGTTCTCTCGGCAAACAGAGTATAAATACATTTATTATTTTAATGATGCATAGATATTAGATACCTTGGAAAATATATTGTATATTATCTACGATAGATACTAACAAATACAGATATCAGTTACCTAAATGTGTTGTGGTAAATAATTTGTTTTTGTTTTCCTTATGTATTTGTACTTCAACATTTCTATTTTATTACTTTCTTTAATTAGTTACTTAAAATGTTTTATTAACAGTTAAAAATTGTTGAATGTTTTATGTATATTTATTCTGTATGTTTGATATTTGATTTGGAATATGGTTTTTTTAAATCATAATAATCTTTCCTAAAAACTATTTTACAAAAATGTTTTTTTATTATTTTAGTGAAAGAATATTTAAACAGAATTGGAAAAATAGAAGGTTCAAGATATACTTCCTCAACAAAGTTCAACAGTTACCAAAACAATATATGATGAGTTGTTCATTTAAATCAAAGATATATCGACAAATCTAAAATTCTTCAAGTGATGGTTCACAATATTATTCTAATTATTTGGTGGGTCACAAACATGCTCATGGGCAATACAAAAAAAAAGTCGGGTACATGAAAAATGAGCATTGCCCCCACGGCTCGTTATTTATACCAACAGTAGTAATCAGTACATTTATTGTTACTCTTCTGTTACATTAATTTATATCATCTTGTATTGTAGTATAAACTGATTTAAAATATAAGTAATCTCACAATATAAAAAAAAAAATAATATACATATAATAATAATAAATAATAAATAAATTATAATATTAAAAATAATATAATAAAATATAAATATTATAATAAATATAATAAAATATAATATTATAAAATAAATATAATATTAAATTATAAAATTATATAATTATAAATTATTTGATGTATTAAAAAAATGTATGAATATATAATTTGGATACTACTATCAAAATAATGCCCCTTAGTGCATGACCGGCAGAGCTCATTTTTTGTGCCCTCAACTATATACATCATCATAGGTCAAGCCAAAATATATCAAAATTAACTATCCTCCACCCAAAAAATAATCCTTTTTTTCTTTCCTAGTTGTGTGGCAAATTAATTTCAAGAATACCAATCCCCAATATAGTACTTAATATGTATTACTCATATAAGTAAAAAATTGAACTTATTTTCTTTGTAGGTATTAAGTTTTAATTGAACCTGCAACAAAGTGTACTGGATCAGCTAGTATAATATATATTATATGTATATTTTATTATATTTTTTTTTCATATTTGTCATTTTTGATCTGTAGTTTTTGCTATGAGTATGATTGTTGAAATGTCTAAACCGAGTTTGCTGAAACGCAATAAGATAATTGTGTACATTTTAATGCATCAGTAAAAATCTTTATAATAGTACTATACTACTATATAATATGTTTATTGCTACATTTTCTAGTTTGATTTGAGTAATGTTTTATTATATACAATGACTAAATAGTATCCATAAGAATTCAGCCAATTTAATTATTTTTCTTTTCTTACTAAAAATTGATATAATGATTGAACTTTGGTATGTTAATTGAATATTTATAATCATATTAGAAATACAATTTTTACCATTGAATAATTTTTCTATATCAAACATTTTTTTTTTTTTTTGATGGGGCACAGGCTGTCAATAAAAGACATAAAAAAAATAAAGTTACATACAAACTTGTGTATGTATAATAAACGGACACATACTAGTTGCGGACGAATTATTCAGGTTAGGAATTATAATATAACAATTGCGGACACGAGTTTCGTTGTCATAATACTAATTGCGTACAGAGCTTTTTTTTAATAAAAACTACTTTAGTTGTGGACACAAATATTTCCCTTCGCCACTTTTTCAGGACTTATGACAATAGCTAAAAAAAAATTGGTAGGTGGGGTTAAAAATATTTGTGTCTTGCAAAAAAGCAATCGTTATTTTTAAAATGTTGTTGAATTATAGATTGTTTTAATTTTGTGAAAAAAATTGTTTATAAAATATTTATAGATTATCGTCATTATTAATTATTGTCATAGTTTTTAAAACAGTCTGTATATATGATATTCTACTGATTTCACCACGTGAATATTGTAACATTATCCGCAATTAGTATCTTATATTTGTGTCCGCAATTCGTATGTTACCTTTTTAGATTTCGTCCGCAACTCACATGGTTTTTGTCACTTTGTCCGCAATTCGGAAACACCGTAATAAACATAGCAGTAGCATATATAAGATATTACATTAATTTTATTATAATATACATAATAAATATAATATATTATATAAATATAATAATACCAAGTTGAAGTATTTTGCATAACTATTTAATGATATTATGCATTATTATATTGTTTGTAATCTAATAAATTTAATGCCTAATAAAAAATAATTTAAAAAATAAAGAGCCTTACCAACTGAACCACCATAGCCATCTATATTTTGAATTTTACCATTAATGTATTATGATTTTTTTACTGTCTATATATTTTATATTAATATTTAAAGTTAAGGGCGTCAGAGTTAATAATAATATGAGTTTTTTAGCACAAAAACATGTCTTACAGGAAAAATTCTTACATCCTATAAAATAGTCTGATTTCGTTATTTTTTTTAGAACATTTTGCAGATCGGATTAAATCCCGAATTTAAAAATTATAATTATAGAATTAAAATATTCATTGGAATAATGCACAATATTTGTTGGTTTTCAAACGTATTTTTCTACCAGTAAAATGAAAATCCGTCCTCAATAATGTTCTCTTCTTTAAAATAAAAAAAAAAATTAACGAAATTCTACAGGGCGAGAGAGTTTTTCCTGTGAAGTCATTTTCATTTTTATAATACTACGTATCAATCCCCCCTAAATAGTAAATAGGTATCAAGCTGTAGATTAGTGGAAAAGTATTATAATTAAGGTACCTAGTACCTAAAATATAAAATCAAATTTTCAAATTTTTCTGATTTTTGGAAAATTGGAAAAACTGGCACCGGCACTTTAAATGAAAACTATACTTATTGCATATTTTTCATATTGTATAACTTTTTTTGAAGCTTATTCTCATAGAAATGCATAGGTATTTAATTGTATTTTAATTTATGAAGTTTTGAGCCCCGATAATAAATAATAACTTTTGATAGTTAGGTGCACAATATTTTATGAATTTAGAGTAAACCTTGTTTCATTATTTTAAACAATTTTTATCAACAGTTCAACACATTTTATTTTTTATGATACAACATTAAAGTTAATTATTTCATTACCTAATGATTAAAATTAAACTTACTAGTTACTAGTAGGTATATTCTAATTTTATGTAACTAGTTTTTCTACAATAAATTAGTCTATTTGAAGCAATATTTATTTTTAAATAAATAAATTCTAATTATAGTATTAAAATCAGGTACATAATACATTGAAAACAACAAATAATCAAATAATCAAATATTAAAATTGTAACATCTATTTATCTGACACCAAAACATTGAAGTATAACAAATTGCCTATACCAAAATATGGTTGGATAAATTTTTCGTTTTCTATTTCTTTTTTCTTTAACTCTTGAAAATTACTTTTACTAGGTACTTGTGAAGTTGTGTCCAATTTCCAATCGTCAGATTAACTGTATGGTCGTTTTGAATCAACTGTATACGATAATAAGACGTGTTGCCGCGTTGGTACGTAAAATTGAAACGCATCTTCGTTTTGTTCGGAAACCGCAGTAAAATAAAATAAAATAATCATCGAAAAACAATTAAATCGCTAATGATATTGCAGGAAATACCTCATATTATAGGTTTTTTACGTTTATCCGTTATCGTATTCCTACAGGCTAGAGTAGATTATTAGGTTGTTAACTTGTAAGTACATAATATAGTAGGTATATACATTTTAAGTTTTTAATCTTTCTAAGTTTCTAACAGTAAACACTAAACCTAACCCCATATGTTGTAAATAATAGTATACACTAGGTACCTACTACCTACACCGTATACACAATAACCCGACTGAAAGAATAAATACATTGTGTGCACACAGACTTATTTATTTTCGTAATTATTATTACCACCGAAGTGGGCAGTGGCAATATGGCACTAACAAATTTTTTAATAAATGAATAATACATTTTTTATGCGGTCTTCGCGATGCCATTACACAAATAAAATACTAGTTTGTAGGTATGTTGAATTAAATTTTCAAGCAGTAGGTGTACCGAGACTCGAGACAACACCGTTTCGAATTGATACTTGCTGTGATACGAAAAAAATAAGTATAAATGTATAACACAGCTAGCGATTAGAGAAAAGTGAGAACTTATACAATTATAATAAAATCACACTCCTGTAGCCACTTATTAGTTATTAGTTTTAGCAAGCAACGATAAAAAATATTTAGTCAAATTCAACACGATATGACAACCAGCATACCACATCCCTGTAATATAACTACTTACATAAACCGATAAACGGTTGTCAATATAGCTTAGCCCCCCTAAATATTTTAATAGCCCCCAAAAATCGAAACTTAATTTTAAATGTCATTCGTTGTTTTCATAATTATGTTATCGTTTTGTTATGCATTATTATTAATTTAACACATCTATCACATAAAACTAGTTTTGAAAATGTGTGGAGAAATGACCGATTCAATTTACCATGCGGTCACGAGCATATTCGATAGACGACGTGTTATCACTTCTTATCGATATGTCGAGCGTCGGCTCGCGGGATCACGACCGTTGTCGTTGTGACGTTATTTTAATATAGAAGATGTTATAAGAGTTTTGTCAGAAAACAAAACCATATTCCCTAATTTGCAAAAACTATTTACCATAGCATTGACAATACCTATCAGTTCGGCTACTTGCGAAAGAAGTTTCAGTGCAATGAGAAAAATAAAAACTTGGCTAAGGACATCCATGCTTCAGGATAGGTTCAGCGATCTTTCTATTCTATATATTGAAAAAGATATGTCCAAAAATATAAATAGCAATGATATTTTGAATATATTTGCTGATAAAAATAGGTATTTGTTATTAAAATAAAATAAAATATTAACTATTAAGTGTTCTTTATTTTTATTACAATTTAAACATATTCATATTTGTTTATAGTAATATATTACACTTGTGCATGGGAAGGGGGTGCGGGGGCGAAGCCCCTGCGTGTCACTTTACATTGGATTATTATAGCCCCCCTAAAAATTCAACCAAATGTCCGCCTATGAGGTGTTGTTAAGGTAATACCTTAAAGTTGAGTAGGTGTGTGGGTATTCAATATCGATATAAGACCGATAGTGAAGTAATATTAATAGAAATTAGATAGTATAATATATTGAGGACTTGTAAGGGTAATGATAAATTTTTTCAAAGGATGCGCGAACAAAAAACTCTTCTACAAAATTGCATCAAGTGCATTAAATAATAAACAAGTAACAATACAAAACAACATTAATTATCGGAATAACAATATTATATGGGGTA